TAATTTTTATGCCATAAGTAAGGGCTGCAGCGCTGTTACTCATTTAGCACTACCCAGGGGACACGTGTTGCTTGAAGATATGCTACGGACGAGGACTAACAATAAACCCACAATGCTCTACGATCCTATTAGACCGGCACCTACAGCTTAAAGTGGATTCCGAACCACTACAAAAATCCATGTCAACGGCGGGGTTCGAACCCGTAACCTGTGGTACCGAGCACTAGAGCGCTGTCCACTCGGTCATCAGGCGCTGGACTTCGAGAAGTATTAATTTTGACAAATAATTATCTTAAAACTTCACGTTTTTCATAAATAATGGGCCTGATAGCCATTCTGGCCGTTGGTGCAACAGGCTTCAGGTTAGTATCCTGACAGCGGCATGGATGTTTGTGAGTGGTTCGGAATCATCCACGTTAGACTTACGGTCCCGCTCTAATTAGCCCAATGTGTGCACAAAAGGATCGTAGAGAGACAAACCAAATCAATAATAATATTTGCTATATATTACTTCTCGAGGTCCACTATTCTTTTGGATATTTCATTCAAATTTTGGATTGTTTGCAATTGTTGCCAAATCCCGTTTATTTATTATTATTTTTTTTTCTTAGTCAGATTTTTTTTTCTTTCTAAATGATCTGTGGATGTTCTATTATTTTAATGAACAAACTATCAGGCACTACAGTCCATGATGAAGCCTGACCGTCTACCTACTGGCAGATTTCGAAACAGGAGATATTTTCATTTTACGGGGTATAGTTGTCAGCCCTATGCCCTACGCTCAGCTGTCATATTCGACCGGGACCTACGGGTTAAAGCGGATTCCAAATCACTACAAACATCCATGGCACCGCCAGGACTCGAATCCGAAACCTGTGGTATCGAACGCTGGAGCTCTAGTCTATTATTTTAATAGACCTGTTTAATCTAGTTTTTAATTAATTAGTTTTATCTCTATATAGTGTTAGTTTAGCAAATAAATCGATATTAAGATAATAGTTTATTATTAAAAAAAGGATTTTTAATAGTTTATTTTTATTAATAAATTTTATATATTTAAAATTCAATTAATTAAATAATTAATTAAATTTTTTTATATAATTATATAAATAATTAATTAATTATATTAATTTTTCTGATTTTTGCCTTGTTATTTGTTTTCCAGCAGCTAAATAAAACATTAAATTAAAATTTCAACAATACTCATTAATTCGTTATTGATGGACTAATTATTATAAACCTAAGAACAAAATTTAAATAAAATTAAAATTAATTAATTGAATTTTAAAAAAGGGTCTACGAAGCAGTAAAAATCATTTTAAAATGATCTCCATGCAACTCTAAAGCAGTGCTCAGAGTATTTTATGAATAATGTTGAAATGATTTGAAAATTATTATGCTTCTTTCTTTGCGATTAAAATGTAACCCAGTTCACCAGAAGATTTCAGTTAAATAACTCCAATTTGATCAGCATAGTGCATGAATTAAAATTTATTTATTTATTATTATTTTCCGTGTGCATGGTACATCCTGAGTAATGCTGAAATTGCTACAGTTATATTACATTATTGGTAAATTATATCAAATTATAATCATTATTATCATTATGTACTCGTATTACTAAATAAAAATTATAATTCAAATCTATTATGTTGCTGCTGATACATGCATTTTTCCAAGCTAGTTATTATAGTATGGTGCCTTTTTCAATTTTAAGTATTTTTTTTTAAGATTATCCTGAGTATGACGAAAGATATTTTACAATTAAATAGATTTAGAAATTTTTTTTAATTAATCTGCATTGAGCTAATATATTCATTAATTCATCATTTTATTAGTATTTGCTGCAAACTTAATATAATAAGATGGAAAAAATATCGGTTTCAAAATATGAAACAAACTGTTATAAAATGTGTTTTAATGTATAAAATTGATGCATTCTTAATATATTTTCTTTTAAAAATAACTCTGTGAAAAAATAAACTTTTTATTATTTCAATTAAAAATTTATTCAATATAAGATAATGATAACTAAAATAACTCACCGAGTTTAAATGAAACGCAAGATTCTTTTTTTCTTTTTCTTTATTTTTCCTCTATGTTTATATTTTTATTCACTAGCAATTCTTTTCTTCAAAACATGGTTCCCTTTTTTCCAGATGTCTTATTAGAATTGCTTTTGCAAATCTATAACATTAGTGGCCTAACGATATCATAAAAAGCTGAATTTTATTTAATTTATTGAAAATATGCATTTATAATCGTTTGAATGTTATTTAAGAACGATTTAAGAATAGTAATAATCGTATGATAGCAAACGATTTAAGAATAGTAATAATCGTATGACAGCAAACGATTTAAGAATATTAATAATCGTTTGTTTTCTACATTGCAATTGTTTTCTTCATTTTATCTGCATTACCATGGATGGCAACAACATTACAAACGATCACGTGATAGAAAACTACCTATCATTTCTTGCGTATAGTAATAATCGAATTAAATTAATAATTCTTGAATAGTAATAATCTTGAAAGCAATCGAATCTCGAATTAGTAATAATTCTTGAATAGTAATAATCGTATGATAGCAAACGATTTAAGAATAGTAATAATCGTATGACAGCAAACGATTTAAGAATAGTAATAATCGTATGACAGCAAACGATTTAAGAATATTAATAATCGTTTGTTTTCTACATTGCAATTGTTTTCTTCATTTTATCTGCATTACCATGGATGGCAACAACATTACAAACGATCACGTGTGAAAACTACCTATCAAAGTAATAATCGAATTAAATTTAATTCTTGAATAGTAATAATCTTGAAAGCAATCGAATCTCGAATTAGAAATTAATAATTCTTGCAAAATTTAAGAATATTAATTAGTGTTTTCTTCATTTTATCTACATTAATAGTAATAATCGTATATGAATAAAGCAAACGATTTAAGAATATTAATAATCGTTTGTATGCAATTGTTTTCTTCATTTTAGCAAAATTACAAACGATTTAAGAATAGTAATAATCGTATGACAGCAAACGATTTAAGAATATTAATAATCGTTTGTTTTCTACATTGCAATTGTTTTCTTCATTTTATCTGCATTACCATGGATGGCAACAACATTTCACGTGATAGATTTCTTGCGTATAGTAATAATCGAATTAAATTAATAATTCTTGAATAGTAATAATCTTGAAAAACGATTTAAGAATAGTAATAATCGTATGACAGCAAACGATTTAAGAATATTAATAATCGTTTGTTTTCTACATTGCAATTGTTTTCTTCATTTTATCTGCATTACCATGGATGGCAACAACATTACAAACGATCACGTGATAGAAAACTACCTATCATTTCTTGCGTATAGTAATAATCGAATTAAATTAATAATTCTTGAATAGTAATAATCTTGAAAGCAATCGAATCTCGAATTACTAATAATTCTTGAATAGTAATAATCGTATGATAGCAAACGATTTAAGAATAGTAATAATCGTTTGTTTTCTACATTGCAATTGTTTTCTTCATTTTATCTGCATTACCATGGATGGCAACAACATTACAAACGATCACGTGATAGAAAACTACCTATCATTTCTTGCGTATAGTAATAATCGAATTAAATTAATAATTCTTGAATAGTAATAATCTTGAAAGCAATCGAATCTCGAATTAGTAATAATACAGCAAACGATTTGAATAGTAATAATCGTATGATAGCAAACGATTTAAGAATAGTAATAATCGTTTGTTTTCTACATTGCAATTGTTTTCTTCATTTTATCTGCATTACCATGGATGGCAACAACATTACAAACGATCACGTGATAGAAAACTACCTATCATTTCTTGCGTATTTAATCAGTTGATCCATCTATAAAATAGATTGTATATCAATAATACGTCAAAGAATTCATGGATTAAGTTTCCGTTACCTAAACTATTACTTATTTCAGTGAAAAATTTCCAGTTTACCTTAAGCAACAAAACTTTAAAAAAAGTAACAAAGTATGCAAATTCTTTGAATAAAAATACAAGTAATTTTAGCTTTCCATTTTTCAAGTAATTTGATGAGAAAAAAAAAAAAAAATTGCTAGATGTATCTTCTTCGCGAAAATAAATCTTTCAGGAATGCAAAATGGCGGAAAGAGGTGACCTTGGAGGATCCAGTTTTGGTGATTTAAATTTTTTTATTTTTTATTTATTCTTATTCTCTTTGGGGCAAAATATTTCGTTTCGCAGAATTTGGAATGTAAAAATAATTTTATTCTAATTTTTATTTTATTTTTAGTTATTTTAATGCACAGGTTGTCGTGGATTAAAGATTTTGGTTGTGTTCGAAATAGAAATTTTTAAATTTACGAAAAACAGCGCCATTTTTAATCAAACTAAATAAAGAATTGTAAAATATGATAATAAATGATTTATTTCATAAAATCTTTTAAATAATCAACGGTAGTTTTCTACTAATGATTATCGAATATTTGGGAATTTTGGAGAATCTTATTTGGCGAACTTTTGAAAAAAATGCTAATTAAAAAAGTTTTTGAACTGATGATAAATTACTTATTTTGGAAATTTTTTTTAAAAAAATTTCATATTATTTGATTAAATTTAAAAAGATAACCGTAAAAAAAATTCTAAGAGAAAATTAAGAATAAAAAAAATTTAATTAAAATAATTAATCAAAAATTCTAATTAAGAATAAATATTTATTAACAACTGTGGTAATTTTTTTTACTAAAAAAAAATTATTTTTTACATTTAAATTAGTAGCAACAAATTGAAAAATGTTCTAACAAAAGTAAAGTAAAAAATAAAAAGTAGTAATAGGCCACTGAACTAAATTTTAATATTATTTTCCTATTGTATTTCAAAGTATATTTATTAAAGTTATGAGAGGTATAATAGTGAAGAATTATATCCGTAATAATAGTGAAGAATTATATTATTTATTAAGTTATAAATTTTATGTTAACAAATAGCCAACGGCCGTACCATGCTGAATATACCGACCGAAGTTAAGCATCATTGGGCGCGGTCAGTGCTTGGGTGGGTGACCACCTAGGAACACTGCGTGCCGTTGGCAAATTTGGGACCTGAATGGCCGAGTGTCTAGCGCTCTGGCGCTCGGTGCCACAGGTTTCGGGTTCGAATCCCGGCGGTGCCATGGATGTTTGTAGTGGTTCGGAATCCACTTTAAGCCGTAGGTCCCGGTCTTCTATGACTGTAAGAGCGTCACGGAGCAAAAGTCAGGCTTCTACCTACGGGTGCTCCATCCCAACAGAAGCTGCTTCCTTCCCCTTCAATCATGAGTCCATATGGGCTCGTGGGCTTGGCCAGCCAAGTGGGGATAAGAAACAACAACAACGAAAACAACATGTTAACAAATTCTATTGTTTATATTTCATTTCTACAATCAACTGTTATAGAAATCTAGCTATGATTTCACATAGAATAAGACTTTGGAAAATTTTATGAATTTGCAACTTTGGAAAGTTATTTTTTGCATCAGCATGAGATATACATATGAAGTTTATTTTTTCATTACATCATTTTAAATGTGTTTAAAAAAAAAAAAAAAAAAAAAAAAACATCCTTAAAATGGAAAATTAATTTATATTTTTTATTAAAGAAATTTGTGAGTGGCAGTCTGATGGACAATGGGATTCCAAATAGTAGACTTTCTGTTAGGAGTGCAATAAGTGAACCGAACTTAAAGTTCTATTGTCTACAATTGGATGAGCCCAATAAATCCGTAGACTGGAAATTTCTTTCATTTTCTCAAAGAGGTAAGTGGGGTGTACGCAAACTCAAGGTAACTATAAGTCCAGAGTGTGTTTATATCAAGTTGCACTTGTACAAAGGGTGTTAGTTTAGATTGTACTCCATCTTCTTGGTACATACTGGATAATGCTGATTTTGCTATGTACAGCAATTGCAGTGCTTAACAACCTCCTCTGAAAGTATACTAAGCATTTGAAAACCGCTCTAACGGTGTAAAATTTTATTTTTATATAATATTTAAAAAATATGTTAAATTAATGTTAAGATGCTTTATTTTATTTAAAATTTATTTATTTTTTTAACTAATACTTTAAATGATACATTATCCATTCGATATTTCGAATATTCTCATTCGAATTTCTCACATCGGATATTTCTATGTTGTACAGGAAAAAAAGATCATACAACCTTTATAAAATCCCCGTTATATAAAGCGTTTTCCTTGGCTACCAGTATGCGCGATATATCGTCGCGTCATTATAATAAGCTTGGGATATTTCGCACGCCTGTTACCTGTTACTTCTTGCGTATTTAATCAGTTAATCCATCTATAAAATAGATTGTATATCAATAATACAACAAAGTATTCTTGGGTCAAGTTTCAGGTACTTAAAGTATTACTTATTTCAATGAAAAATTTTCAGTTTACTTTAAACAATAAAATTTAACTATGTAATAATAATATATAATTATTTCAATGTATGTATTATTAAATATATAATAAATTAATCTCATATAGAATATTTCGAGTATGTTGTACAGGAAAAAAAGTCATACAACCTTTACAAAATCCTTGTTATATAATGCTTTTCTTGCGCGATATATTGTGAGTCGTTTTGAATGGCTTGGGATATTTCGCACACTTTATTTATGAGAAAAAGCCTCATAATCATTTTTACTTTTCTTTTGTTACTTGGCAAGCGCGATATAATGAAAGGGAACAAAATAAATTTAAATTTAATTCGTGTATATTTTGATATAAATGATTGCTTAATATAGTACTGTTATTGTAAACTTACTTAAGCATTAAGGGCCTGAATGGCCGAGTGGCTAACGCTCGGTACCACAGGTTTCGGGTTCACGTCCCGGCGGTGCCATGGTTGTTTGTAATGGTTCGGAATCCACTTTAAAAAGTAGGTCCCGGTCTAATAGGATCGTAGAGCGATGCGGGGGCATTGTTACTCCGCGTCCGTGGCTTATCTTCAAGTGACACGCGCCCCCTGGGTAATGCAAAGTGAGTACGTCTGTGCAGCACTCGCCTTAAGGCATCCAACATCAAGGTGTTTGTTTGCCAGCTGCATTAGAAAGAAAAAAAACTTAAGCATTAAGAAAGTTTCTACAGGATACCTACTGTTCTATTCGTAGTTTATCAATTCTTGCCCTCGCTGCGACAGGTTTCAGGTACGAGTCCCGGTGGTGGCATAAATGTTTGTAGTGGTTTTGGAATCCACTTTAAACCGTAGATACTCGTCTAATATGACTGTAGGGCGTAAGACTGACAACCCTACCGCGTAAAAAGAAAGCATCTCCTGTCTCAAAATCTGTCAGTGGGCAGATGGCCTTGGCTTACCATGCGGCTGTGGCACTAATAACGTAATGATGAATTTGTGATTACAAAGTTCTAAACTTTACGTTAGTTGTATTTATTTTTCAAAAAAATAGAAATCACTCAAGTTTCCTGCTTATGTCTTTAAAATAAGTTTATAACAAAGAGTGAAAGCTGAAATTATTTTATGCTATATGTTATTTTTTTATGCTCCTATATATTATATATTTTTTATGCTTATTCTATTTTATGCTCCTTGAACCAATTATTTGATCTCTTCTTGAACGTCATTGTTTGATTCGCTGTATCAAATAATGGAGTATCGTTTATAACATTATGAATTCGACCTCGATTTTCGAGTGAAACCAAATTCAACTTTATTGAATCCAATTCTCTAACTTCGCTTAATTTTTTTTTTTTTTTTTTTTTTTTCTTCTTCAATAACTGTTTGAATCCTTTTTTTTTTTTTTTTTTTTTTTCTAATTTAATTAATTCATTCTTTTTGGTTACAGTCACTACTTTAAAAAGAAAATTCTCAAGTGAAAAAAAAAAAAAAAAATCATAATATATTTGATACATAAAACAGACGTAGAATAATTTTCTAGTTAATAAGTCTAAACGATTTTGTAAGACAAAAATTAAAAAGTGATTGCAAAATTTAATTCTATTGAATTATGCTTTCAATTAGTTTAGCTATTCATTAAATGCTAAAAAAAAATATATTAAATAAGTAATTATAATTAAGCATTCTATGTTAAGAAAATATTAGGTAAATTTAACAAATATTGACAGTTTTTTAATATCAGAAACCTTTATTCGCCGAAATGCTCAACATCTAACATTGCATCTGGATGAATCCGACTCGTGGCTCAGTGGCAACTTGCGCCGCTGGTGAGCAATAGGGCAGAGGTTCAATCCGTTGGCAGCTTTGTTGTAGACACTGTTTCAAAACGAGGAGACTCGATAGCTGTGTGGGATGTCCAGCATCTGGCCTCTTTAGTCAGACTACCTGGTGGGATTTTGCAGGGGTTTCACGCATGTGATACACAAATACGAGTTGGTTCTTCCTAAAAGTCCTCCCGTAAGATACTGCCCTCCTTCTTCAGCGAGTCAAGTCAGACTTCTTACCCACGAGTGCTCCATTACGACAGAAGCTCCGCCCCGTTTCTTCCATAAAACTGCATTGGTTTATGGACTTGGTCTAGATGGTGCTGTCTACAAAGTGGGATATGAAAAGAAATGCTTTCAGTTAGTTTAGGTATTTATAGAATGTTAAAAGAAATATTAGATGAGTAATTCTAATTAAATGTTCTGTGTTAAGAAAATAATAGATAAATTTAACAAATATTGACAGCGTGTTAATAATATAATAATCTTTATTCGCCAAAATACTGAACATATAACATTACGTCTGGATGACGATTTGATTTTTATTTAATTGCCTTAGTTTGTCGCTCTACGGTAAATTTCTGCACACCTTAGGCGAATTAGACTAGGATCTGCAGTTTAATGTGGATTTCGAAGCACTAATAAAATATCTATGCCATCGACAGGGTTCGAATCTGAAACCTATGGTACCAAAAGCCATAGCGCTATCACATTAGCCATCAAGCCGTTTTTTTTTTTTCAGCATTCTGGCTCTGCGCAGCCTTCTGGTACGCGCATCCTTTTCTGTAATTTTTGGGTAATTAGACCGGGACCTACTATTTGACGTGAATCCGAACCACTAACAAATATCCATGCCACAACCAGGATTTGAGTCTGAAGCCTGTGGCACCAAAAGCCAGAGCGCTGGCCAAGTCGCCATCGAACAGCGCGCATGACCGCCATTTTCGGTATCAAAATACAAGCTGTACAAAATGAAAATTAGTAAAGATAAGGTCAGATAATTATTTGCAATGAAATTTAAAAGATACAGTGAAATTTCTACATGGTCTTATAATTTTATCATCACGATCATAAATTTCAATTTCTTGGATTGCATAATTTTCGTGAACAGTGAGATTGATGAAAAATCTAGTAGAATGTCGGAAGCTTGATAGCATCACGAATTTCTCTGTAGGGCCTGAATGGCCGAGTGGCTAGCGCTCTTTCGCTCGGTACCACAGGTTTCGGGTTCGAGTCCCGGCGGTGCCATGGATGTTTGTGAGTGGTTCGGAATCCACTTTAAACTGTAGGTCCCGGTCCTAATAGGATCGTAGAGCGTTGCGGGGGCATTGTTACCCCGCGTTCGTGGCTTATCTTCAAGTTACACGCGCCACCTGGGTAATGCAAAGTGAGTACATCTGTGCAGCACTTGCCTTAAGGCATCCAAGACCAAGCTGTCTAAGTGTTTGCCAGCTGCATTAGAAAGAAAAAAAAATTTCTCTGTTGCGCATGAACCACCTTGAGTCTAAAATTTGTCGAAGAATTAAATTTTGTTGTGGTTCAAGAAATTTAATATGATAATCAGATGCATAAGCTAAGAATGGACATGCGTACGTGAAGATAGGTGCACGTGTTAATAAAAGAGTAGAATTAAACTGAACTTTTGTTTGCTAAGTTGAAAATGTGATTTCTAGCGTGATAAGTGTTGATCCAGGATAACATCTAAATATTTAACTTGACTATTCCAGGGGATAAGGCTGCTCTGTAAGAAGGTATTTAGTTTCTGTTTCCTTTTATTTATTTGGATATAATTTCTGCAATTTATATAGAAATGGTGATGTTTAATATTTGCAAACCATTTAAAAATTAAGTATGGAAATGACGC